CCCTTCTAAACTTTTTAAGACTTTGATATTCCTCCCCTCTGCAAAGCCCGAAGTCAAATCAAGAGCTATTGAAAACTTCCATAAAGCCTGCCATTCGAATATAAATAAGTATTAGTCAGACTAAAACCAATTGGGCCCGTTTTTAACTGCACTTCTTGGACCGTTGACCCCTGACAAGTCAGACGTGCACGGTGTCTAGTATCCTACCGACGTACATAGGCCTATTTATACATCTCATCTCTCGGTTTAATACCTATGCTGTATAAAATTTAACAATCTATGAGAATCACACGTATTTTTTTATTAAAAAGAGGCATCGGGTATTAGAAATACGCTGTCCACCCTAATGGTTTTACTGGTGATCAATGTCCTAATAATGTGCCCTTAGTTAAGTTCCGTACGTCGGTATCTCTGTCACGTCAGAGATCACGAGTTTGGCGCCAACCGCATACATTCAATGAACTGAATGGTTAGGTCTAGCTAATTCAGAGGGTGGTAGAAATCGCGAATCACAACGGGGGGACGGCGACTCCATTATACGTCTCTCTCTCTACCCAAGATTGGCGCTGAACAAGGTTTGGAGGTTAGGAGAACTCAAATCTGGCTTGGTTACGGGCGGCAATTCTGACTGCTAAGTTCAGCACTTTTATGGAATCATTCCCTTGAGTACAACCAGTGGAACCAAGTATTATAGTTTTAAGACGGAAAAGCGTGGAGAAAACTGGAATGGTCGCCAAAGAAGTTCGTCGTTGTAAATGAGGTTGAGGCTATACATCCCATTGTCCACTTTGAATCTTCAATAGACTGGGGTGCGCAATAGACTTACCTCCACGTGGTGCACCCTGGGCAACGTATACTCATACGGCAAAAAAGTCTATTGACCGGCAGTTGACTTCTGACTTCAAACTACCACGACCCCCCTGGTTGTCATATTCGACCCCTTTCACAGTACTCACCTTACCTTTTTCTCTACCTTTGTGTCTGTCTGCCTCTTTTACATCTGTGAATCGCTCTTCTCTTCCCCACCCCTCGAATTTCTCCTACTTTGATGAACCTTCCCTCTGTGAAGCTCGAAGTCAGCTAAATGGCTAATGATATCTATCAAAACGCCTGCCATTCGAAATAAATAATCAGAAGTCTCTATGGCGGATTCGCCTATGTTTGAAAAGTCTCACACAAACTACCTTAGCTACCGAAAAGATATGGATGAAACAGACGTATCACGTGGTGCACGTTTAGTTTAGATGTGTGTGGGTTGGTATGTATACAAAAAGGGGTTAGTGATTGTATTAAAATTGCGGGTTTGATAAACCAAGCGGGACATTTGATTGGCGGTTGGCTGGATGGTCTCCGCGCTTACCACCACATTTATCCCCTACGCGAAATTCAAGCCTGTCTGAGCACCTATCCCCGCAGGTTAAAGGGGCCTGAGCTGTGATCCCAATATTGGCGAAAGGTGCTCTCCTTTTCAAATAGATCAGCCAATTATCGGGATCTTCTTTGGCTAAATAAATAAGGTGAGATGGAACATTTCAGCCACTCTTCTTGTATAATGTCATCTGGTATGCAAAGCCAATATCAACTAGGCATAGTGAGAGGGGCTATTCGCCTATTTGGCTTTTCTTAACCCCCCCCCCCCCCTTAGAGCGATAATCAATAATTCGTATTTTCCACGCATTTTTATTGATTTAAAAGTACTCGTTACGTAATAAGAATGAAGCTAGCAACAGGATTTACTGAGCTACTGAGTTTCGACATTCTGAAAATGTGACAACATTACGACATTTATTAATATGATTGAAAAATGCAAAGTTAAATGCCAGGGTAACTAGAAAGTTGTCAAAGCTTTTCAATGACGTGGCGTACCTGGGGACGCACGACTTTCAGCGGGTTCGATCCACCTATGTATTGGTCGTCTACTAGTTCCTATACTCACCCTAACTGTCAATTGCTCATTCATCGACAATTGATAGAAGAGCTTCTTGGTGCTTCTTCTCGTCATCGGTTCCAATTTGGCACGGATCACAAAGTGGGTTCATGAGGATTTAGAGCTCCTTCCAATGGAATTTATATCTAATTCGTGGGGTGTGCGATAGACTTACCTCCACATGGTGCACCCTGGGCAACGTCTATTCATACGGCAAATAAGTCTATTAATTGGCAATTGACTTCTGACTTCAAACTACCATGACCCCACTGCATTTCATATTCGAATAATTTCACAGTACTCATCTTACTTTACTTTTTCTCTACCTTTGTGTCTGTCTGTCTATCTCTTTTACATCTGTGAAACATTGTCTGTCCCCCTCTCGACTTTTTGCCACTTTGATGTTCATCTTCCTTTCTGTGAAGCCCGAAGTCAACTAAAGGGCTAATGATACCTATCATAACGCCTGGCATTTGAAATAAATAAAAATCTAAATCGTGTATTTTAAACTAGACGCCAACTCATCAACACTTGCTTTGACTTCTCCGGACTCTATTGTAGAGCCAGTGGTCTCACGTTCTGCAGTTATAAGAACATATACTTTAATGAAGCTCCTCCGACATCTTTTCGCTTAATTTCCGAGCTCTACACTGTTCCGTTCTTAATCATTTAAACCTCTAGGGATGCCGTTTTGTAAGAAGTTACCTTAAGCCACATCATAACGTATTTGCTGTATAAGTCAAGCGAGGTGGAGCTCACAGGAGATGAGTAGCAAAGTTCAAAGAAGGAGTGACCAGAATTTTTAAGTTAAATGCCAATTAGCTCATTTTTATTAACAATGATCCCCTAACGTACGATACATATCTACTTCACCGAAAAGCTTGTACGCTTATAGAGGTCAGTATATCAAAATCGAACTATGGTAAAAAGAACTCGATTTATAGCCGCAAGTGCCAATGAAATTTACAATTATACAACTAAGTACAAAATTTATTACAATTACAAAGCCACTACTTAGAAACAACAGGTTTTGACCAAAGTTTAAAAGGCTTAAAATCCAACTGAGTAAAAGCGGCAAGCGCTTCATCGAGGTTAGCAGAATAGGATACTCCTCCGTTGTTAACATCTACAAGCTCATATTCCAAGGTAGCATTACTCTTGTGTGCCTAAAATAAGTGAATAAGTTTGCTTATTGTTGAAATAGATTCAAACCTTAGCAATAAGGACCCAGGGTATACCAAGCTGCTTCAAATCAACCAACTTCCTTCCTAAACTCATTCCCAATCGGTCGTCAACAAGAATATCTCCTTTTGGAAGAAAATATGCAGGAGAATCATCGTCTACTGAGGCAGGAACCTTGAATTTGGAAAGAATCGAATTCAAATCAGTCGCAGATACCGCGTCCTTAGCATTTTCCTAAAGGTAAATATAACATCTACTAACAAATAGCTAGTAGAACCTTTTGTAGGGCAATAGCACCGCTGAAAGGTGCAAAGCCAAGTGGCCACCTTAGTTCACGTGGAGGATTTTCCTTTCCCAACAATGTTGTGAAATGCTCAAGGGCTGTAGCTAGTAATCGAGTGACACCGATACCATAGCAACCCATTTGAAGCGTTCTAGCTAAGGTAGAAAGTAATTTCAGCGTAGTACTCACCTATATCCATACGTGGTGATGTTTTCACGTTAAATGGGGATGTATACAAATCTCCAAGGAGAAAACAATGAGCCAGCTAAAAAAATTGAAAATTAATACCAGATGTTCTTTTTACCTCGACGGATTTTACAATCTGACATTCTGAACCACAACCGGGGCAATTAGAGGATTCTAGAATCGCGATATAATAATAATAATTTCAACGGCATACCTGTTTGCAAAGCTAAAACAGCTTTTTTACAACTAGAGAGGATCAAAATGGTCAACTAATTAGAAGTTTACTTTTGACAAACTGACAACATGTCCTCACCGACAGGTAAAGGACAATGGAATTCATCTGATGGACAATCACCCATTAAACCTCCATTGGCAGACACTAAAATATAACTAGACAAGATCGAGAGTGCAACTTACCCTTAAAAATGGGAAGCTTAAGAAAATGAAATATTTCTGAATATGCTTTCGAGAGAGTATCATAAGTTTTCTTAGCAGACTCAACGTCCAAATCAAAGGAATATAGGTCTAACGTAATTTAATTTAAGAATTGAATGTGCACCCATACCTTTCATGAGAAATTCCCGACATCGCAGTAGGCCTAATTTGGGTTGAATTTCGTCACGAAATTTGGAAGAAATTTGATAGACTTTAAGAGGTAAAGCACTATTATTAAAATCCAAGCCAGAAACAAATCTGCAAACCTCTTCCTCGTGAGTCTAGAGTGAAAGAAGTCATTAAGTGAAAAAGGAAACATTACGGGCTGTAGGCAATAGGATCTTCCAGTGCGATCTTTAAGACGAAACATTTCACTGCCAAATTTTTCCCAACGACCTGATCGTGTCCAGAGTTGATCCTGACCAAGGGTTGGAAATATGCACTTTTGGCCACCGATCTCGGACATTTTATGGTCGATAAAATTGGTCAATTTTACAACAGCTCGTAATGCAATTGGGGAAAGAACAAAGACTCCTGGAGAACTGACTGATACTAATCCACAATGAAGGAGAAGCTAAAATTATGTTGGCAATTGAGTAGATAAACATGATCTACTTTATGGGAAATTAAACTTTGTTCCTTCTCCGAGACGATAGGCGTACTTTGACGCAACAATTTTGATAGGTATGTGAACCGATTCATTGAAGTCTAGATAACAAAATCAGGCACAAGTAATAGAATAATGTACAAAATAAATTAATGACTTTAGTAATCAGGAAGGGGTGTCACGAGATAATTTTTACCATATGACAAATGGCATTTAGCACTTAAGAACTGTAGCCTTTAAGTTCTGATTGGTTAATGGTCATATAAGGTGTAAATATATAATATGATATAAATAATCGATTAAAAGTTTAAAACATTAAGTATGTAATATTTTTGAATACATATTTTAGAATTACTTAAAAATACATATGGATAAAGTCTCAAATGACGCGATTATACATAACAACTGACCTTAATTTTATTGGTTTATTGTCTAACGAATCAATGAGTGATCTTCACAGTCTTATTTGGTCGGTCTGGTTTTCTTGTTGACTGTGATTCTCATTTGCATTATCGCGGTTCTTTTTATATCTTCTAGTTATTATCCGTTTTAATACTATTTATTTAAGCTATCGGATATATATCTCCTTGATACTGTTTTCACACTCCGTTTAATCTATTTATCAAATGCATTACCTCAAATTAATACGTTTTGCTTTAATGGTTTAGCTTTCATGGGAAACGTGTTCAAAGGTACACCTACAAGGCACAGTGTCACAAATTACGGATGCATTTCATCAAGGGAATGCCCCACTTGTAGAGGCAGCGGAGTCATCGATGATGGTGAGCTTCGCTATTTCTTTTTGAATCTCACCAATTCCAATATGTGAAATATCGTTATATTTTTATTGGTTTATCTATTTACCCTTGTATCTGTGCTCAATTGATTATTTTCAATCCGTTTATATAAGAGTAATCGAGTAAGATTTAGTATCACGGGTCATCGATTTGATTGTTGTCCATGCTTATTCGTTTCATATGTTTTGATCTTATCTTGTCTTCTGTTCCTACAATGACTGTATTCAACCTTTTTTTATCTAATAATGTGATTCTAAGCATGCTATAAGGGATGACCATTACCTTAAAATAATTATTTCACACTTCCTATGCGTTAGTCAGTGTTCATATTAATCTTGAAAATTTTGACCTCTTCCTACTGCAAAACTTGAATGAATGATTCATTTTAAGTTTTATTAAGACCCTAATTCTACTTGAATGTACAGGAATTTATGCTTTAGCTATAGATATAGTATTCAGTTTAATCCTATTCGAATATTTACGCTCATACCTTAATTGTGTTTATGTTTTTGATTACTCGTTTATTAAAGTTTACAGTCGCTTCTCCGTGGATGTCATCATCGCCTTAATCAGGCAGCCAGTAATCTACCACGCGCCATGATAAACATTAGCAGGTTTGTTTAATTAATGGAGAAACGGTCATTTGAGCTAGAGATTTTCATTGATCTGAAAATCACAGAGGCAGGCTCTATTTCTCAACGGTTACTTATCGTGCAATGTCGAAGTTGGTCGAAATCGGTAGTGCAACAAGTAGGATTCTGTCTTAATTATATATATATATATATATATATATATATATGGAGCATCAACATCTGTTATTCGATCACTTTTCATCTATGGGCGTTTATTGCGACATCGATTGTTGAAGCCATGACAATATCATTGGGTATCAACGGAAAGTGTACAAATGCCGATTTATCACATTTCCATGTGATAACTTGACATTAGGTCACATGCACTAAATTTGAAATATTTAATGCCTACTTTTGTTGAGTCAATTTGCAGTCTTATTAAACTAAAATTTTGCCATACGTGATATAAATAATATTTACATACAACTGGTACGCCGTTTCATTGTATTTCACCTTATTTCAATTGCCTAAGTCGTGTCCAACACATAAACACAACCAAATCGTTGACTAATGTTTGGAATTCTTCATCCTTACTTATTGGCCAATAGTGGTTGTAAACTAACGTGAAATAAGAACAACGAATTTTATCACATTTTGACCCAACTTAATCCGTAATTTTCCCCCTTAAAGCAATTACCAATCGTGATTTGACATTTCTCTATCATGAATTATCTATCAGCATTGGCTATAGCTCTCATCTACACTCTTATCGACGAAGAAAAGCGAAATTTTTCTTCGTTCTCTTGGTCAAGAAATGGGTTAGATTTTAATTGATGGGCTCTTCTTAATCGTGGTGTCGTGTCCACAGAATTGCAGAGATCGTTGCTCATTGGCGTACATCCAATGATGTAAATGTTAAAAGGGTGGTGAATAGGTCAGGGAGTCTTCGTTAAGTGCTACGAGTATACCCCCAATAGGCCCGTTTATTAATAACAGTATAGGAGGTACTAATTGGACGGGCGGTTGCATTGGCACAACAAAGCGTGGATGGTTGTAGATTTGGGAAAGGGTGGTGACATTTTAATTTAATTAACTCGTCTCATCTCAGCCCTAAAGCCTATGGTGCTTTGTTTTCAAACCATCTTTAGATGAAGCTAGTTTCGATATCAACACTAGGAATGATATTCTGAGATGTGTTCCAAACACCTGGGTCATTAAACAACCAGAACTTGGACACTGGAGGCTCTTATTGACCACTGTGTAAAGGATGCGAGAGTAGTAATCACTTTTAAGCATACATTCAAGCATAATTGGCAACTTCCCACTTCACTCTGCTCAGTGAGATGAGAATTTATGGTTTTGGTTATGACGGCAATTCAATCCCAGCGAAAAAAGACAGAATACCTGCTCAAGAAAGCCGTCCATAGATTGCTTGAATAATATAAGAGGTTAATTTGGTATCTAATTGGCTGGCTATATGACAGCGAAAGGACTTCATTCCCGCTGTGTATTCAGACTATTTTTCCACTTATTCCAGAGGTAGGCACTTCAAACGGTGGCGAGTACATAGCGCTGATTCCATTGACCGATCAACGTCTGCGACCTCAACGCATCACTATCAAGATTTTTGTGACGATACTACTCTGCTTGGCCATTTCCGGACTCCTCATATTCTTCCTCCTCCTGCGCTCCGTCCATCTTGTCTCTAATGATCACCTCCTACTTCCAGAGAAGGTTACCATCACGGAAACCACTGTTTGGCTTAATCTCTCTGTGAGGCATATTTGCTCATTTTAAACTGGAAGCATCCTTTTTCTTAGGTCTCTTAATTAATTAATTAATTTTTTATTTATGGCGTAAATGCTACTACCCTAGCGGCTGTGTTGCTTCTTTTGCTCGCACCAATACAACCCCCCCCCCAACAAATTTAAACAAAAGTTAGTACGTGAACAAGCAAAACTCTCAAATTATTATTTCCGTCAAGGTATATGGGGCAGTGGAATTGTGAAAGAAGTATTATTAGGTTAGACTATTCCTAGTCTCATTTTATTTGTTATTCTAGACGTATTGCGCTGGCCACTTTTGCGCAAGGAGTGCAATATCCAGTTTTATCACAATTTGATCTTGATGGGGGGGGGGGGTTTATTTCTTGAAACCCAGAGCCTTTCTCCATCTGTTTGGAATAAATGAGCACCGAACTTAGAGGCAGCTGGTTAGGTGCACACTAGTGCAAATTTAGTACACTGAATGACCACTCATGATGATATTTATTTATATCAAATGGCTGTCGTTTTGATGGTTATCATTAGCCCTTTAGTTGACTTCAGGCTTCACACGAGGCGAGGAGGAACAACAAAGTGGGAAAAATTCGAGAGGGGGAGCGGAAGAGAGATTCAAAGATGCAAAAGTGACAGACACAAAGGTAGAAAAAAGGTGAGGTGAGTACTGTGGAAGAAGTCGAATATGACATACAGTGGGGTCATGTTAGTTTGAAGTCAGAAGTCAACTGCCAGTTAATAGACGTTTTTGCTGTATTAGTATACGTTGCCCAGGGTGCACCACGTGGAGGTAAGTCTATCGCGCACCCCCACATAATGATATAGGAGTGGCGGAGTTCGAGTCCCTCACCATGATGGAACTCGATGCTATCACCGCATCCAGCATGGGAGTTGGAAAAGCTCCCCTTGATGCTTTCTAGGAAAATTTTGTCGATGTTTGTTGTGGTTTGTGCTTACCTCAGAGGCCACTTGTTTTCTGTTTTTATCAATGCACAAGGTGATGATAAGGGTGTTCAAGAATGCTACCCTTCTGTTTGAGCTAATCAATTCTCTTAAAGTGTTTTTCGAATCACCTTCCTCTCAGAGTTATAACGATCTCAGGCAATTCTATCTCTCTCCTTCCAGTATCCCATCAATGTGACAAATTGGAATTTTGTGCCTCTCCGTGTGGAGAGCGTGGAACTGATGGCCTTCTACCACGCCTATGTCTTGAATCAAACTGAAGCCACTTTTAATGAATGGATTCCTGCCAGGAGCACCAAGGAAATTCATATCAATCAAACGCTCGTCTTTGACGGTCCCACCTTCTCCGTCTAGTAAGTACCAGCCTCTCCTCCCTGGCAAAACTTTTTCATTGTGGAATTGCATCTGCACTCAGGAAGCAGCAATGCCATTCGATAACAAATTAAGGAAAAAGTATAATCATAATGGACGCCTTTTAGTATTGCAGGTCTCAGTGTTCAAATTTCAAAATACCTCCCCTTTTTCTGGCATGTTTACAGCATCCAGAATTTGCTTATTTTAATGTCCTGTCGGCTACTTCAGACACCTTTTTTATTTCCAATAGTCAAGATATTAGCTAACGGTTGATTTTTGGTAAATTGGAGCTCTCACTAGTGTCACTGGGGTTCATGTAGAAAGAAACGGAAAATACCATATGGCAACGCGCCTTCAAGGTCATTTGTGGTGTTCATATCACCCATTGAATAATAATAATTCAATAATGATTACGACGTATATATTAGAATACGTGGTCATTGTTCTAAAAGCGGAAATCATTGGGATGATTACAGCAATCGTAGGTGGACCTCAAACTATCATGACATATAGAATCACAGGGGTTCGTTTAACTTAGCTATTGCGCACACAGACACAGATCCTAGATTATACCACTGAACTATCCCGCAGCTGTGCAATTCCCGGTTTACACTTATGTTTGCAGTTGTTAACCTGGACGTTTTAATGAAGAAATTCTATTTCGAGCCTAAGCTAGGATTCTACATTTTAAACTTCGTCGGTTAATTCAACCCTACCTTCCATGAACCAATTTTTTGATGTCCTTATCGTTGAAAGTGTCGATATTGCATAAGGCTTCCATAATATAACCCTTTACGATTCCGATTCAAGACCAATTTTATATTAATGTGTGCCTTTTCCTTTACAGTCTTCCAAAGATGTGTCAAACGAACAACACGTATTACAATCAAATCTACATCACGTTCAGGTATGTGCTACGCATGGCAAAGCACCAAAACACCTTCAATAAGAAGGGGGCTGGGGGAGAGGGGAAGGGATCCAAGTGGAAATTATGGATAGAATAGCGTCTTCTAGAGGGTCTTGCTTTATTTGAGTTTAGAACTCCCTTCAGATCCAACTACTGCAAAAAATTAAAATTTCAGAATTTTCCGACAATGCTCATTAGGGCGGTGTTTGTCTTCTTCTGCAACAAAGGATAGTCTTTCGGAGGAAAATTGAATGATAAAATTTGTCTTATCGATTAACTATAATATTTCCGATTTGAACTGGTTGCAGCTTTTATGAACTATTCAAATTGTGCAGTGGTACTCTTTTATAGCATGTGTCTTTTTTATTTGTTTATATTAAATGACAGGCTTTAAGACAGTTATCATTAGCTCTTTAATTGACTTCGGGCTTCACAGAGGGAGGGAACATCAAGGTCACAAAATTCGAGAGGGGGAACAGAAGAGTAATTCATAGATGCACTAGAGAGACTTGCACAAAGCTAATTAAAATGGTAAGGTGAGTACTGTGAAAGGGGTGGAATATGACATAAAGTGGGGTGATGGTAGTTTGAAGTCAGAAGTCACTTCTCGGTTTATGAACTTTTTATGCGGTATGAGTTTACGCTGCTCAAAGAGCACCACGTGGAAGTGTGTCTGTCGCGCACCCCTGCATGAGAATAAGGAAGTTAAGTGTTTCTTAAGACAACTGTAAAAGTACTCGTGTTTATTAAATTATGTGCTCATTGGAAAGTACAGTTTTTTTGCAACTTATGATGAAGGTTTTAGTCATTATTAATTCAATAAAAAGCAAATTTGTGGGTAATACATCTCGAGTGAAGTGAGTTATATTGAATCTCAAGTCTATGCGTATCAGAGACGTTGGTTTCTTGGAATTTGTTGTTTACTTTAGGTCGAATGTGAAGATGAGCACGTTGGGCCAGCATTTTGAATCTGTCTTGGACGCATTCCAATTAGTTAGCTGCTATTCACCAAACCCCCAACATTGATCTCCCAACTCCACTCTCATGCTCATTTGAAAACTTGTCGTCTCAAAATTCACTGTCTATTCACTGGCATTTATATTTGATTTCCTACATTTTCAGATATTTTAATAAATGCACTGTTTGCTCCATCCAACTTGAAGGCTCTGTTTATCTAGAGGCTGTTATTTTTTTTTTGAAAAAAAGAACGGAATTCTGTAATCTCAAAGTCCTAGTTCCATTGCCAATTTTATGAAATATAGCTGGCTATGCTGATCATGTAGCGCTCACTACTGACACATAATCCTGTGCGACAACTTTTTACTGAAGGTCAATGAAAAAGAATTCGAAATCTACTAACTCCTTTATCATACTGCAAATTCTCATCCATTTAAATCGGTGGTAAACAGTAGCCTTGAATCTATTTTAGAAATTTATCTCTACTAACAAATAATAAGTAGAAACAGTTTCAAAATGACATGTTTGCAAGGCAAATCTGTGGTTTAGGTCTCCAGTTCAACGTGCTCTAGTACTGCGACAATAATGAAAATGAAAAGTGGAAATAACGATTTATTCGCTAGGAGATAGTAAATTTCAGAAATGATAACAATTTATATCTAGATACTAAAGCATTACCACCCAAAGTATTCTTGCATCAAAGTGAGAATAACCTGAATCTTTTCCGGAAATAAATAGCTTGATCCACTAATTCTTCGGAATTTCAATCCACTTTCGGCCGATATTAATATTTCCATTGTCAAGGGATCTTGCTTCTCATCGCAATCCAAATTCGTTTCTGTTGGCCAAGTGACAATTATTCGATCACCGGTTTTTTGCGGTTTCAGACCAAATTGTTTGATCAGGTAATCAACTTGGCAAGCTATTGCGCTTATGGAATGCATATTCAGGACCCGAGATCGAGTCATGGCCTTTCGTGTTCTTGCAGGAACAGATGGACTTCTCTTAGCATTACTTCCATTTACCTGAACGCCGTCTCCAACCTTTGGTGAAACATTTGGCAATTCGACATTGATTTCTGCTCCTATTTGTTCAGAACTGTCCCTATTAGAGGCTATACTTTTAAATCTCGAAAGCACTCTATTTGATCTTCGAGAAAGCTCATTAAATCCACTTGAAAGATGATATCTAATCTCGAATAGGAGATTTTGCATTTGTCGAACCATTTGATTTCGTCAAATGAAATTTAGAAAATATATACTGGTAAAGGGAATATCGATTTGCACAGCTGGCTAATTGAATATTTACTTAGCAGAGAATTATTCCACCAATTAAACAAAGTTTAAAACTCACCGTAAAAGAAATTTTCAATTAAAGAAGTCATTGTGAGTTGCAAAAGCCTAAAAGCATGTTATTTTGTAACAAAACAGAAATGCTGCAAAATTATTGTCCATTTAGCGTAGAAGAGTGTCATTTTATTTTTATACAAATCGGCAAAAGTAAATACTTAAAGAAAAAAGGTGGTAGTTAGAAGAAGCTGAAGACAACTGTTTAAACAAATCACCGCGTGTTATTTGTGCATTAAAGGTATTAAAATATTATATGAAAGGTAAACGTAACCCGTCAAATTGTTTTTTTCTTCAGTTTTTGAGTGCTTGGGACTAAGTGTACATTTTTAATTACTTGAATATTTATTTATTTATATCAAATGGCAGGCGTTTTGATAGTTATCATTAGCTCTGGAGCTGGCTTCGGGGCTTCACGAAGAGGAGAAGGGATATCAAAGTGATAAAAAGTCGAGATGGGAGACAGAATAATGATTCACAGAGATAAAAGAGACAGACAGACAGACACAAAGGCATAAAAAAGGTAAGATGAGTACTGTGAAAGGGGTCGAATATGAAAAAAGTCGGGCCATAGAAATTTGAAGTCAGAAGTCAACTGCCGATCAATAGACTTTTTGGCGTATAAGTATACGTTGCTCAGGGTGCACCACGTGGAGGTAAGTCTATTGCGCACCCCAATACTTGAATAGTAATTAAACACTAATACCCTTGGCTATCTATCTGATAGGCCAGCCAACTCTGAATACTACAGACTTGTTCCAACCTCTGCATTGGCGCTAGAAGATTTTAATATGGAATTTAATGTCAGATCATTTTGTTTGAATTTTGCGTCATTCTATGTTTCTTAAGTGAACTCAGTCGCTTAGTCCGTTAAAGCTCGAATTACTTTATTGATTAATGAACCAAACTGCGCTCACAGGTGTCTCACAGCAGACGGATGAGTTTTGGCGGTTTGAGGCGGAGGCTTTAGATGTACTGAACACGTTTCAAGCGGCAATAGGGCCTTCTGTTTCGANCTGACTTCGGGCTTCACAGGGAGAAGGTTCATCAAAGTAGCAGAAAGTCGNTCTGTTTCGAGTCTAGTACCAATGGAGCTTATTTTGAAAGTGGGCGGTACAGTCCCAATTGCGTTAAAGGGTTACATTAAGGGGAAGTAAATGCAAAATTCAGAGGTTTTAAGGGTAAAATTTCCTACTTATAATTGCAACTAATCTATTGAGAAATCTTGCATGACTAAGCCAAATATTAACCTTCAAAATCTCTCAAATGACTTATGACTTATCTGCAAAAATAGCAATTAGGGAACTCATTTTTAGTAACAGTGCGTCCCCAATATCAAGACATAAAGCTATTGAGAGTTCGGTTATCGAACTTCCTAATAATTGCAATTTTGAATATTTTGTTAAATCTTGTTGTAAACATTTTCACTTTGTGGCAGAATAATTCAACTGCAATTAGCAAATTGGGATATTCTATTAAAGAGTTGTCATCTAGCGGCCGATTACAAATAATAATACCAACTGTTTGTCCCCGTCAAAGTTCTCCATTTGCCCAAAATCCCAGTGTGTGGTCCCCTCTTCAATGAGAGGGAGGGAGAGAGAGAGAGAGGCTGCATAGAAGGGCGGATGCCGGGTTTTCGGGTTCTGTGTGGCCCCGCCCCATCCAATCTTAATGCAAAGCACTATCAAATGAAAGATGGGATAAAGATGTGGGGGACAGGGGGGGGGTGTCGAAGTTTGGTCTCAATTGCTTCAACTTCTTTTTTTTCCTTCTGTTATTCTTATTTTCACTGAAATATTTAATGGATTTCGCGGATGAAGAATACAACAGCGACTCCAAAGTGCTTATCCATTTAAACTGATTCATTCAGATTAAGCAAACATTTTTTGTACGTATTCGAATTCAATAATCCCTTTCCACTCGAAAGTGAACGAATTGGCTCTTATGGAACACCTAGGGCGAATATTTATTTATTTCAAATGGCAGGCTTTATGGTAGTTATCATTAGCTCTTTAGCCGACCTCGGACTTCACAGAGGGGAGGAACATCGAAGTGAGAAAAATTCGAGAGGGGGAACAGAAAAGTGATTCAAGGATGGAAAAGAGATAGGCAGACACAAAGGCAGATGAAAGGTAAGATGAGTGCTGTGAAAGGTGTCAAATATGACATACAGTGGGGTGATGGTAGTTTGAAGTTAGATGTGAACTGCCGGTTAATAGACTTTTTTGCCGTATGAATATACGTTGCCCAGGATGCACCACGTGGAGGTAAGTCTATCGCATACCCCCCCCCCTCCCTAGGGCGAATATAAGTTGGTTTCAAAACTGAATAGACTGCCTTTCGTTTGTTTAAATTAGGAAAAACTAATTTATCTTAAATATCAAAACATGCCATTTAGAATGGCAAATAAGCTCAGCAAAAAAAAAAGATTTTTAAAATGAAAAACTAAGATCGTGGAAATGGCGGGGTGGGGGAGGGATGGGGGGAGGGGGGCATGTATTTACTAAAACACTAGTGGTCGTCCACTTACCTAATAGGGCAGGGAAGCGCAAAGCCTTTTTGGGCGCGCTATTTAGGGAATTTGACAGATGAGATTTAGGCTTTTCGCTTTTTCACGACTTAGAGGAGGCTAAAGAATATTGTCTGTCATTTTTTTCGCCCATTTCGCCCATTTTGAGTATAAAAGTTCAAGGACACTTTGAAGATTGGCTAGCATGCACTTTTAATATTAGCAATGAATGATGATTCGATTATTTGTATGAGACTTAAAACAACCCAAAATGGACACCTCAATCTCTACATAAGACCAAAAAAGGCTAGAATTTATTTCTTAACTATCCTTTTAAACATCAATACTATTTGGACCTTTAATTGCAAACATACTTGGGATGAAGAAGAGCACTCATCTTCCCAAGTATACAAAATCAAACTTTACCTTTGGGATAACGTCTCATTCATACTTGAACGCGTACTATTGCAAATACTGAATAACTCATAAGAATCACCAAATGAGTCATTTTAATAAGTCCACAAATAGACATAGCTATCACACGACAATTTGACTGTCCATGACAATATCAGACGAGTTATACCTTTCTGTTCATTCCATAGGAATTGCCTGGGCGACGCCGACTGTCGACACGACTATTCCTGCTGGACAGGCAAGATTTATTGCCTACAACTAATTACTTATAACTGGAATTAAATAGCATTGACTTCAAGTATTGCTAGTGAATTACCTGAAAAATTTATTTCAAATGGCAGGCTTTGTGACATTTATCATTAGCACTTAAACTTTGACTTCGGCTTCCCCCAAGGGTGGGGGGTACATATATAGCAGTTAATTAATAGCCGTTCATTAGCTGTCTTCTTGCTTCCCAGTATCTCTGGCTTTCCGTCGTTGCCTTTAGAGGCGGACATCGAATCAGGTGGGTCTTCTCCATTTCCTTCTGTAGGTTACATAGGGGGCATGTGGGTTGAGTGTGTACTCCCAATCTGTGAAGGTGTTTTGCCAGGCAATTGTGTTCGATACGTAGTCTAAACTCAGCAACGGCTTCGATTCTTGGCCAGTCGGCTATGTGGGAGAGTGCCACTGTCCACTGTTTCTCCTTTGTTGGAGCCTTAAGTTCGTTGTACCTTGAGGTCTTGAATTCTCTCCTGATTAAGGCCTTCATTGTGTGGAAAGACATCGGGCGGTCCATGCATTGCAAAATCGTTGTCCCCTTCTTAGCAAGTGTGTCAGCAAGCTCATTGCCTTTAATGCCACAGTGACCAGGAATCCATTGTAGGACCACTGTTTTGTTTTTCTCTCTCAGTAGCTGATAGAGTTTTCTACATTCCCTTATCTCAGCTGTTTTGGGTGGCTCTCCGCTTCCAATTGAGTTTATTGCTGACTGTGAGTCCGAAAGTATCACCGCTTTGGTGAAATTACCTGAAAAATATGTATTTTCTTAGAGCTTACAACCATGTATTTAAAAAGTGGTGAGATTATGAAAGCCCACAGAAGGAAATAGAAAATCGTTGGTTGGTACAAAAATGATAATTAACTTAATCACAAATCTCAATACTAAATTAATGCATATGATTGAATGAGCGACTAACTGTGGAATGATCAATAAAACTTGTGCTTTTCAATGAAATTGCACTACATTCAAACAACTCAGACAAAAGAAAGAAAAAGACACGACAATGCAAATAAAGGAATTGCAAATATTTGGCCCATATTGCATAAGTTAACTTTAACTGGATTAAACTGGAGTTTGAAGGTTGGGTTGAGTATTAAAACGCATAAAGGTGCGCATTGTTCACCGTGATCATTTGTCACATCAGAGTTCACAGACTGGGATGTGCGATAGACCTACCTCCACGTGGTGCACCCTGGGCAACGTAAACTCATATGGCAAAAAAGTCTATTATTCGGTAGTTGACTTCTCACTTCAAACTACCACCACCTCACTCTATAGTTGACTTCTCACTTCAAACTACCACCACCTCACTCTATGACATATTCGACTACTTTCACAGTACTCCCCTCGCCTTTTTCTACCTTTGTGTCTGTTGTCTCTTTTACGTCTGTGAATCATTATTCTGTCCCCCATCTTGCTCTTTTACGTCTGTGAATCATTATTCTGTCCCCCTCTCGGCTTTTACGTCTGTGAATCATTATTCTGTCCCCCTCTCGACGTTTTACCACTTTGATGTTTATCTTCCTTTCTGTGAAGCCTGAAATCAACTAAAGGGCTAATGATACCTATCATAACGCCTGCCATTTGAAATAAATAAATAAATAGTTCACAGACTCGACTTCCATCGACGTTCACTTTATGAGTTGAATAAGTAACGGGATTCGAGTCTCTTACTGTGGTAGCTGCTTTCATAAA